ATATATATATATATTCACACCCTTGCAATTAACTCATTCTGTAGTCTGAGAGGCAAAGCCCAATAAACACATTTGCTGTAGGGCAAACAGCTAAGATTCCCATCCACACGTCTCCAACTTATTTAGAGCTGCACCTTGATCATTAAAACCAAAAGTAGCAAAATTACACAAAAACAATCTTTGCAGCAGGATCAAAGCTTTACTCAATCTGTGTGCACAAACAGAGAATTTATATTTATCAGGTTAGTTTCTTTGTTGAACAAATTCAATGCTGACAGTCGTGAATTTATTATAAGTGAAAAAAACAACTTCCTACCTTTTCACAAGAAAATACATGAAAACGAAGGGATGCACTGCAACAAGAATTCTTCCCAACTTTTTTATTTTTTTACTCATTTTTTATTTACAAAAGCTAAGTTTTCAGTCTTAACAGTCTTTCAGTAATTACCACAGTCTATTAGTTCTTCGTCAGTTCACAACGAACTCTCTGTCTGTAATGTGCAACAAGAACTTTTTGTTATTAAAACTAATCCTTGTTGTGCTGTCAAACTGTCTGCAGTTAGAAACAGTATTACTGGGCTGTTTTTTTTCTGTACGAAAAAAAAGAAATGTGAGCTTTATAGTGAATTCAGCCACATTAAAGTACCGCTAAGATAATCACACAGAGAGGCAAACCGATGCAAACCTTAAAACAGAATTTAACAAATATGTTTATTGGTATTTCTTATGAAAAATAGATAAACAAACAAGAGCTAGTTCATGTTGTAGGCCAGGGGTGGGCAATTTATTTTTTACCGAGTGCCACATGAGAAACTTGAGCTACAGTAGTACCAGCAATACATTGTACTTAATTCTGCTTAATAATTTTTTTCACCCATTGTAAAGATTATTAAATTATATATTTTGATTAGCTGCTATGGGTAATTAGGACAAGGATGTGTTGCAAATATTTACATAAATATGTGAAACTGTGATGTAGGTATTTAGGGAAAATATTTCTATACAAACAATAAAAACAAAAACAATGCTTATTTTTAACATGTCATTGTCACAAATACAAAAAACATTAGCAATATGGTATCTATTTGATACAAAAAGCAATAAGTGCTTTTAATGCTTTAAAGTTCATTTTACTTGTTCAGTGAGAAAAGTCTTCTTGGGCTTTAACAAAAGCATCAAAATTTGTCTGAACGCCATCACTTTATCTGAAAATATCTGTTGTAGGTAGATCAAAAGGAGACTTCACCCCAGTGTACTTTTTTTATTTTAATGGTGATTTACAAGCATTATTTTAAATCTCTGAGAACTGAGCTTTGAGCTAGTTCCATTAAAGCGTGTGTCAAAACTCAAGGTCTGCAAGGTAAATCTGGACCGTGTTAACATTTTCTCCGGAGCAAAGAGTAATACTTTTGATGTGACCTTTTTTTGTTTCTCTTTCTGTCACTATATTTAGTGCATTCCTCCCATGACAGCTGGACAACTTTCATGTCAAGAAAATTTTATTTTAATTTTTTTCAGTTATCTTGGATGTTGGCGTGGAAAAGGGCAACAGTTAACTGATTTTGATTATCTTTTTTTTTAATTTCCTTACTTTAAAGCCAAATCATTGTTTGTTTGTTTTTTTCGTGAGTGTTTTTTCCCCAAGATTTGCTTGATTGTGATTAAATGCATATACATGAAAAAGTTGTTAATAGAGAGTAAGGTATAAGAAATGAATGCTACTGGTGCATCTTTCTTGCTACATTCATTCATAAACTGGAAAAAATAATTTGTATTTCTATAAGACTAATTAGTTTTTTTTTTTCAATAAATAAATATTGACAGGATTGGCTCTTGGCTTGGACGAAGTTTTGAACTTTGACCCGCTTGTGTAACTGAGTTTGACCCCCCCCCCCCCCCCCCCCCCCCCCCCCCCCCCGCTTTAGAGTAGAACCTTGCACAACACGGTTCTTGCCTGGCTAGTAAAGAGGCAGAACAGGTAATGGAGCACGGCCCAGGGGGGGCTTTGTGACTCCCCTGAGAGCTGCAGACTTACAGTCCCTCCTGTAAAACTGCTCGAGGACAGCTTCTACAAGAAACTCCCAAACTTGGTTTGGGAGTTTTTGTCCACTTTCGACCTGAAAAAGACCAATGAGCTCCTCCTTAATGACAGCAGCCATCTTCCACCCAGCTGGGGTCCAACTTGAAGTGATGCCCTGTGTCCATTAGTGATCCCACCGCAGGTTCATCCATCTGCTCCACTAAGAGTCACTCTCATTTCATTTGCCCATAAAATCTTGGAAAACTCGGTCTACTCGTACTTCTTGGCAAAATCTTTTTGCTTCAGCTCAGTGGGAGATGTGTTTAAGGCTTCTTTACTTTGAATACTTTGTACTTCTGAACACCAGGCAAGTTGCAGCTCCAAATATGGGAGGCAGCAGAAAAATATACGCTTTCTTTTAATTCTCACACTTGTTTGCATTTTTTCTTTCAAAAATGATTAAGGGATGGACTTGAATAATTCATTCAAAAATTAGTTTTTTTCAGTTTTCACCTCTCAGAATTTCCGATGGATTGACTTATAATTACGTGAATGAGTTACCAGAAGTAGCTCAGTGCAACAATCTTTCTGATTACATAAAAATGTTTTTTAATTGCTCAGAAATAACAAAGGACTGTACATTCAGTCACACTCTATTAACACACAAAGAAAAAGCTTCAGAAATAGTTTCCTTAAATCTGGATCTGGTTGTATTTAATATTCATTTTAATAAATTGACCTTTGGCTTCCCAGACAATGGGCCTCATGCAAGAACCGTTCGTACAAACAGATTTGTTCTTAAGTTGTGCGTACGAGTGATTTAGGAGAATTTGTGGCATTCACCAATGTTTTCGTATTCTAAGATTTTTTTCAGATACGAACAAAATTCACGAGTGGTCCAGACCTGTCGTATATTTTACGAGCAGTCAGTCTGCTGTTATCCAGARGGGTTTTCTTCARTAATAACTTTATATTTRGTTAGTTTGAAGATATTTTGAGTTGAAAATAAATCACACTCCATAATTATCTTGACAATAAGTTATTCTGCTTGAATTAGAGTTATAATTTTAAATGTAATAATTTAGACTAACAATATAAATTGTCCGTCCGGCCGGCTTACCCGCTATCGGGTGCGGGGGCAGCAGCAGAAAGACCCCGCGCTATCCCAAAAGTAAGAGAAATTTAGGATAAGAATACAAACATGTTCATGCATGAGGCCCATTAAGTGCAAATTTAGAAACCATTTGAGAAAACCAAAATATGTTTCAGGATGAATATGTGACTTCTAGTTTTCAAGTTTAGTGAGTGATTCCTTGTTTCTGTAAGAAAAAGGTAGACACCAAAAAAAACACACACACACACACACACACACACAGATCAGTGGTTTCCAAAGTTAGGGTTGGGACCGTATTGTGGGTCTGGAGCTACAAGTGGGGGATCTACAGTAGATCTAAAGAAATCAAGTAACTTTAAAAATAATAGCCAGTAACTTTTTTAGGGTTAACTTTTACAAATAGATAAAAACATTAAATGACTTATTGACAATGTTTGCTTAAAGGCCTCAGCATACTCAAGCCGAAGCCGAAAAGTCGACGCACGGTCAAGTGGTTGTTTGGCGTTCGATTTTGCACACAACTTTCATAGGCCCAGAGACGTGCCGAGCTCCAACGAAACCCTTCCCACTGTGGTAAATGTCACTGCATGAGGTTTCTTGGCGCTGAGTCTACAAGCAGAAAAAAAAAATCTGAGACCTGTCACCTGACATTATTTGTGCACAAATCTGTCCTGGTTTAAGCTCCACAGGTTTTAATCAGATTCCTCCATGAACAATTTGTTTCATCTCCATTCATGAGTTTGACTTTCTTTATAAACGTCCGCTTCCTGGTAGCCTACAATAGTCCGCTTCTGAGAGCAAGTCGTTTTTTTTTTTTCCTGGAGCGAGTGGTTGAAACAAAATGCAGCATCCGAGCGCTTTCAGCATGAACAAACACTCCCACGAACTTCTGATGAATCACACAATAAGATCCTATGTGGAGAGGGGTAAAAAGTTCTGCCGGCAGGTTGTGACGAAAAGGGCAGCCAAGTCAACGCTGAGAGCACGGTGACCTAATTTTCGTCATGAAACTGCGACAATCAGAGCTGATTTTGGCAGTTCGGAGGGAGTGTGAAATAGGTTTATCAGCAGGGGTCACGAGTCTGGGGCTTTTAATATTGTGAGTCAAAACCAAAAAGTTTGGGAACTGATGCAGGACTGCTGAGTATTTCAATAAAGCCATTACCACAGTAAGGACTGCACAATATATCACAAATATATTGTCATCGCTGTATCAGTGCGCACAATATTCACATCACAAAGGATGGCTTACAGTCTAATAATGTTGACTAATGTATTTGAAGAGGTTTGAAGCTGTATTTTAAAAGCTAATGAATTTTTAGCCAGAAGGAAAGAGTCTCACAGCAAAAGAAATCTCACACCGAACACAAACGACATTGCCAAAAATGCTAAAGGTCACATAGAGAAAAAAGTACAGATTAGAAAGGGAGGAAAGAAAGAAAGGAAAAAAAAGACATATCGCACCTGATAGTCATCGCAATATTTACAAATATTATTGCCATCGCAAGATTTTCTAATATTGTGCAGCCCTAATCTCAGTAGCTACGTTTACATGGACGTAAGTAATCGGAATAAACGGCCAATTGAAATAAAAATGCGTCATGTAAATGCCCCAGTCAGAATAGTCTGATCTGATTCAGCTCGATCGGAATGAATTTGTAATCTGCTTTATGCAGATTGATGATCTGAACGGCGTGCATGTAAACACTTAATCTGATCATGTTAATCTGGTTGTGGAAAACTAACCTGACTGTGTTTATGTGTACCTAATGTCAACCATACGTATTTCTGACTGGCTAGATGCTAATATGTTGGGGAAGTAAAATTGTTTGGTTAGCGATACATTCTTTGAAAGAGCTCAAAATGATTGAATGCCTTGGTGGTAGGAAGTGTAGGAACCCAGAGCGCAGTAACCTCTCCACTGTTATGAAAACCTGGTGCCAGTCCATTCTGGGCACTCAGAATAGAGAGCGTTTGTTTATGTTCATCACTGAAGCAGAACTTCTGTGTTTTTGAAGGGTAAGTTTACAAAAGTGTATGTCAGTTCTTCTATTCTGAATAAAAGCCTGGTGCATGTTAATGCTCACTATGATCAGATTAATTTGTGCCCATGTAAACGATACATTCAGATTATTTAATCAGAACACATTTCAATCCAACCAAAGAATGTTGCACATGTAAACATAGCTACTAAGCTAAGGCTGTTGGAGACTAGTTACCAACTCCAAATTGTGAGAAAATGGAAAGTTTCACCATGTCATATTCTCTTTAAAGATGGTTGGAGATGACCCACGAGAGAATTTACAGATCTACATGACCCAAATGACTATTTTGAGAGAAAGATTTTCAACACATTCTAAATCCAAGCATCAGGACTGCGCAGAGAGAGAGAGAGAGAGACTGTGCCTAATATGAACCCCTAGAATTGCTTCAAGACACCTGGAAGATTCCCCCACAAATGTAGTTTGACAACTAATCGCCAACAGTCACAGCAAGATGATCTTGCAGATGATAGAAGAAAAACCTGCACACTTCTTCTTTATTCATCTTTATTTAAAATCCATTTCTGTTACAGCAGCTTCAACAACCACTTCCACACCGACACACACCTAGGGCTGCAACAATTAATCGACCACTAATCAATTATTAAAATAATCGATGACTAATTTAATAATCGATTAATCATTTTCTTTTTTTGTTGTTGTTCTTTACTTTGTTTTTCTCTCCAAACTGCTTTGACACCTTCCACTGCCACATCTGCCTTTCTGTCCTTGACACAC